CTGTTTATTTTCTTTATATCAGATATTTTTGCATACTTTTTTATTTAGAACATTGTATCCACCTTTGATTTTTGTTTCTAGTAAAATCTAATAATAAGCTCTGGTTATTTTCTTTTATAATTTGTGTTTATTTTGTGAAAAATAACCTATAATTTTGTGCTACAATCTATAAAAACTCCTATCATAAGTACATTAGATATAATTTTATACTTTTCTAGAACTCTGAGATATTCTTTTGCAATACAAAAGGGAGATGCTTGGGACTGAATAAGAAGGAAGTGCCAAAAGATCTGACAAAGAAAAAAATTGAAAAAGAGAGAAATGTTAGCATACTGGAGAGGAAATGTCTGTTATGAAACAGAAAGACAAAAAAGGTGTCTCCTTATTGCCAACTCTTCATTATACAGAAGTGATAGAACTTGAAAGAAGAAACGAAGCTAAAAAAATACCAATAGTGGTCAGTGATTACAATATTTCTGTGGAAAGTGTTGACAGAGTTCAGCAATATCTGACAAGCTATCCTGTAATCAAAGTGAGGAAGAAACATTATTATGAAATATTTATGCACCTTTTGGATCAAACAATATGAAACTCGTTTGTTACTTATTCAGAATAAAGTGGTTCAAAAGTCATTTACAATTTAGATTAGGTCTAATAGACCAAATAATTGAAAAATATGGGATAAAAAACTGCCACAGTGTCCATCATCGATGTCTTCACCCTGACATTTAGTGAGCAGACACTTTATTGAAATTATACCATGCACAGAAAAAAAGGAAAGGCCAACATGACAGTGTAAAGTCCAAAGAAAGTGAGACAATAATGCAAAAAGAATTCGGAAAGAGACTAGATAGCCCTGTCCAGATGTAGCGTTGCATTGTATGCTGAATGTTTTAAGATGTACCATACACAGAAAATTTATTGAATAAATTTGCTAAAATTATCATTTTATATTTTCTGTTATAGTATCTTATAAAAACTAATGAAAGAGGTTAATCATTTTTACTTCCCTTTCCCCTCTCACCCTCCTATCCTCCCTCATTCCCAGAATAATGGTGCTTTTTGAAGAGAAGATTTGAATTTTGATGGAGTCTATTTAACAGTTTGTATTTATAGTTATACTTTTTTATGTCTTGTTGCCTAGCCAAGGTTGTGAAGATTTTCTTCCACATTTTCTCTTAGAAGTTTTACAGTTTCAACTTTCTGTTTAGGTCAATGGCATCTGTGAACTGATTATTGTGTATAATGTCATGTGAGGATCAAGGAACTGTTCTCTTCCAGCAGCCTTTGTAGAAAGATTATTCTTTCCTCATTGAATCACCTTGACATTTTTTTTTTAACCAGAGATTGAAGTCAGGCCCTTGTGCTTGTGAGGCAGGTGTGATGCCACTAAGCTAAATGCCCAGGCCCTCACCTTGACATCTTTTTGTTTTGGTACCGGGGATCAAACTTGGAACCTTGCGCTGTGAGCCAGGCACCATAACCACTGACATAACCCCGCTCACCTTGACATCTTGATCAAAACCAACTAACCATGGATGAATGGGTCTATTTTTAGACTGTGTACTCTTTTTCATGAATCTATCAGTCAAGCCATATGCAGTTTCAAACTCTTATGATTACTCAATTTCTCACTGAGTTTTGAAATCAGGTATGATAAATTCTTCAATTTTTTCAAGATTGTTTTGACTATATGGAGATTCAAATTATGACAATTTGGTTGGCAAACAAAAGCATTTGGCAAAATTTTGGTTTTGCTTCCAAACATTACATCGGGTGACAAACAACCACAACCATCTTTCCTGCACAAACACAGATGTGGCCATCTTTTCCAGGATGGTGGAACAAATTAAGTTCATGAACTGAGGTACTCCTGTGTCTTTGCCTCTAATACTAGAATAACTCTGCAGGAGCCTGCAATGTTGATTATGCCCAAAGCGGGCTGTAAGCAGTGCAGGCTATGAAGAGTTAACCCCACAGTCAGCTTGTTTACAGAAGTGAGTCTGGCCAAAGCATATGTGCCAAGGTCAGAGTAACTTGGACCCAAATTCCATTCCCACAACTAAAACCTTCTTAACTAGAAGGACAATGTTCGAATTACAACTATATATTTTGTCTATTCTGTTCCTAATTTGAGAATGCTTTGTCTTGTCTTTTATGAGCCTTGCTTACATTAATTTCCATAGAAGTTGCACGACTGCACATCCTCACATGTAGCTTATCCTGCCTTGCATGTAGCTCACTTTTACCCCAATTAATCACCAGTAAAAATCAGTGACTTGGACTGGACAGCACCCTTGTTGGTTGCCCTGGCTTTAGTAGTCCTGGTGCCTGCTTTCTGTCTCTCTTAGTTCTGTCTTTTAGTTTTTTCCCTCAGGCCTGCCTGTGCTGTACACTGAGCAGGAGACTGGAGCTTACTATAGACATTTCCAGAAATGTTTCAGGGGTTCCTGGTAATAACACTGCATCAAAAATAAGTTGGAAATTTTCACATTTTTTATTTTCTGAAAGAGTTTGTGAAGATTAATATGACAACTTCCTTAAATATCCCATAGGGTTCTAGGCCTGGGGTTTCCATTTTGGAAGGCTTTTGATAATGATTTTATTTTAATCTATGGGTATCTTTAGACTTTATTTTCTCCTTAAGTTTGGTAATTTTTATGTTTTAAGGAATTTTTTCACTTCTTCTAAGTTGCCAATTTTGGGAGGATAAAGTCTTTGTAATATTCCTCTGTGTGTGTGTGTGTGTGTGTGTGTGTGTGTGTATGCATGTGTGCATGCATGCATGTGTGTGCGCACATGTGTATGTGTTTTCTGCTTTGCAGCCAATTTTATTTAAAAAACTTTTTTCATTAGTGTGTGTTTGTGATCGATAGCATTTACACTTAGCTTGGGGTTTGACATGTGCACACCATACCTTGCTAATTTTTACTCCCCCTTACCCTCCAACCTCCTCTCTCCCTCCTTCTGTAGATCTTCTCATCTCTCAGAGTCTACTTTCCTGTTTCTTAACATGGGTCTTCTAGTGTGCTCTTTAAATAATTTATATTTTCAGTTTCTCATATTAGAGAAACTATTCATTATCTAACCTTTTGTGATTGACTTATTTCACTTAATATTATGGTCTTATTTCCATTTTCATACAAATGACTTAAATTTATCCTTCTTTATGATTGAGTAGTACTATGTTATGTATATAGATCACATTTTATCAATCCATCTGTTGAAGGGAATATAGGCTTCTTGTAGGATTTAACTATTGTGAGTTTTGCTGCTATAAACATGGGTATGCCTGTATCATTGTAGTATGAAGACTATCTCTTTGGGGAAGATATCCAGGAGAGGTATATAGCTGAGTCAAATGGAGTTTCTATTGTTAGCTTTTTCAGGAATCTCCATACTGACTTCCAAAGTGGTTGTGCTAATTTCTATTCCTACCAACAATGTACAAGGGTTCTTTTTTCTCCAGCATTTATTATTTTTTGAGTCTGTAATAATGGCCATTTTTATTGGAGTAAGGTTGGATCTCAATGTTGTTGTGATTTTACATTTCTCTAAAGGCCAAAGATGTTGTTTTTGTGCCAGTTCCTGTTATTTTTACAATTGTAGCTTTGTAGTGTAGCTTGAAGTCTGGGATTGTAATGCTCTTATTGCCCAGGATTGTTTTGGCGATCTTGGGTCTCCTTGATTCCATATAAATTTAGAATTTTTCTAGTTCTGTGAAAAAAGCTTATAGTATTTTGATGGAGATTGCATTAAATCTATCTACATGTAATTTTGGCAACATGGACATTTTGACAATGTTATTTCTGCCTATCCAAGAATAAGAGATGTCTTTCCATTTTCTAATGTCCTCTTCAATCTCTTTTTTCAGAGCAATATAGTTTTCATTATAAAGGTCTTTTACTTCCTTGGTTACGTTAATTCCTAGACATTCAATTTTTTTGAATCTACTGTGAATGAAATTATTTTCCCGATTTCTTTCTCGGTGGGTTTATTCTTGGTATATAGAATGCTATTGATTTTTTGTGTGTTTATTTTGTATCTTGCCATTTTGCTCTAAGAATCTGCTTGTGGAGTTTCTTGGATTGTCTGTGTAAAGGATCATGTCATTTGTGAAGAATATTTTTTCTCCTGCCTAATTGCACTGGCTGAAACCTTGAGTATCATATTGAACAGGAACAGAGAAAGTTGGAATCCTTGTGTTGTTCTTAATTTTAGTGAAAATGCTTTTAGTTTTTTTCCTCATTCAGTATGATGTTGGCAGTGGGTTTTTCATAAATAGCTTTTTAAGGTAAGATCCTTCTATACCATTTTCCATCGAGGTTATTTTTTTTAAAAAATCATGAATACATATTGGATTTTATCCAAGTTTTTTCCGTAATATTCCTTTGTGATGTTCTGGTGTTTTGTTGTTGATTTGTTTGGGACAAGGTCACAATATGTAGTTCAAATCAGCCTTGAACTCACCATGTTTCCCAGGCTGGCCTCAAATTTGCTGCAATCTTCCTGCCTCAGCCTCTCAAGCTCTGAAATTTCTGATCTTTTGAATGTTTTTAGTTCTGATTTCCTAATTCATTCTTGATTTTGGTAATCTGTGTTTTTTTCATCTTGATCAATCTCTCTAGATATTTATGAATTTTATTGACATTTTTAGTAGATCAGCTTTGGTTTATTTTTTTAAATTTCATTGCTATCCATTGTTTTCTAATTTTCTTCTTTCCTCTCACTTTCTTGATTTAATTTTTCTAGTTTTGTATGGTGGAAACCTATATGCTTATTTTACATCTTTCTTCTTTTCCAATATAAGCACATAAAAGTATGTTTTCCTCTAAACACTATGTTAGCTATACCAGCATAATATATGGCAAAGGTTTTTTTATTCAGTAAAAAGAAATTTCTAATTTTTTTATCTCTTTGACTGAGATATTATTTAGAAGTTTATTGCTTAACTTCAGAATACTTGGGGAACTTTGAAGATATATTTTTATTGACTTTTAGTTTAATTCCAAGGTTTGTGCTTTCTTTCCATCATTTACTGAGAAGGTATTGAAATCTCTACAACTGTGGCTTTATCTAATGCTCTCTTCAGTTGTCTCAGTTTTTCATTCACGTGTTTTGGAAGTTTTAGAAGTTAGATGAAGAAATCAGGCGAGCGTACATTTCATAGGACACCTTGCTGATGAATTGCCACCCTCATCATTATGGAACATGCTCTTTAATCCTCCTGTTTGTCCTGAGTCTGCTTTGTCTGATACTAACATTGGACTCCTGCTTTCTTAGTATTTCCAAGACATATTCTTTCATTTTTCTATTTTTGCCTATCTGTGTCCTTATATTTAAAGTATATTTCTTTAAATATTATTTTCTTGCATTTTTATGAACACTGAGGTCTCTGCCTTTAAAGAAAAGTGTTTAATTTCTATTTAATATGAATATATCTAGATTAAATGTACCCGTTTTCTAATTTTTATTTGCTCCGTTTATCATGTCTCTTCTTTTTCAGTCTTACTTTGGGTTACACATTCTTCAGGGCAGCTATGTGCCGTTTCACGACGGGGACGCATTCCGAGAAACTGCTGTGCCCGTTGGAGTGAGCCGCGGACACAGATGGCCAAGCCCTGTGCGCGTGCACGGCCTGTTGTGTGGGGCCCGGCTGCATTCGATCTCAGCGCCTCACTTTGTTTCTTGGTCACATCGCAGCTGTGGTTTGCGTACGTGTCTCCGCGGGTCCATGTGTTAAGGTATGGTCCTCCCCTCAGTGCCGCTGCCAAGTGGCAGAAACTGCAGGAAGTGGGGCCTGGAGGGCACCCTGGGTCGGGGGACGGTCCTGGGGCACTGACAGAGCCCATCCCTTCCTCTTTTCCGTTTGCTTCCTGATGACGAGGGGCGTGGTTTTGCTCTGAACGCCCTCCTGCCGCCAGGTGCTGCTTCGCTCAGGCCCAGGGCATCGGGGCCAACTGATCACGAGCTGAAACTTCCAAACTGTAAGTCAAAACATGCTTTGGGGATGCTTTATTACAGCAAAAAAAAGCTGACCAATACAACTTCTCATTTTTCTCAATGGTTGTTCCAGAGTTTCCAATATACACTTTATTTTGGTGTTGGGATGGAACCCAGGATCTCACTCTCCCCACGGGGCTGCACCCCAACTCTGCAAGCTCCCTCGTCTGTGTTCAGACCCCCACTTCACACAGTGCCATCAGTGAGCCTGCAGCCTTGGGCTCTTACCCTGTGTGCTACCACTGGTTCACGTTTTATCTATTCCCATGTTGTAAACCCCAAGTACACTGCTGTTTTTGCTTTAAACAGTCAATTATGTGATAAAGCTATTTTTTTAAGGAGAAAGTAATTCTTTTTTTTGTACCAGGGATCGAACTCAGAACCTTGTGCTTGCCAGGCAGGTGTGGTGCCACCGAGCTACATCCCTGGCCCGAAAAAGTAATTCTTCCTATCGGCCCGCAGTACTGTTACTTGCTTTGTGTCAGTGTGAACTGTGTCTGGGATCACTTTCCATCCTTTTGAAGATGCTCTGGAGATATTTCCTGCAGGTACTGTTCTGCTCATGAGGGGTCTCTGTATGTTTGAAAATACCTCTATTGGGTTTTCATCTTTGAAGCTGGGGTTGCTTATCACAGGATCCTAGGTTAATGCTGCTTTTCTCCTCCGCACATGAATGTCTGTCTGTCTGTCTCTTTCTTTTTTTGGTACTGGGGATCGAACTCAGGACCTGGAGCTTTTGAGGCAGGTGGTGGCACCACTGAGCTAAATCCTGGCCTGACATGGTGTCTCAGTGGTTTCCTTCTGACTGGTTTAAGGGTTCCTCTTCACCACTGCAGACACTGCAGACAACTTAGTATGATCCTCCCTTGTATTTATTTATTTTGCTTATGTTATTCGGTGCTTGTTGAGATTCTTTTGTCTGTAGCTACATAGCTCTCAGCAAATCTAGAAGAGCTCATCAAGGACTCATCAGCCATTTTCCTGATCCCTCAGTCCCAGGATTCCAATGCAAAGTAGGTCTGAGTGGTTGGTATTGAATCTCAGACCTCTGATGCTCTGGTCTTCCTTCATTACTTTGTTTTCTGCGTTCTTCAGGGTGCAGTTTCCATTTCTTTTTTCTCTAGCTCACATTTTCAACTACAGCATCTAACCTATACTGCATGATAAAAAAACCAGTATTTAAATTTTAAAGTATTTGTTACAGTAAAAGACAGGTTGCCACGAATTTCTCTCAAAATCCTGCACGTCCTTGGCGGATACTCATCCCATCATTCTTGCCACTTTCTGGAGCTGTTTTGGAAGTCCTCCTTACTGTGTGTCTCGCTCTCTCCTGGCTGTCTTGATGTCCTGGGTGGATTCAATCTATCTTCCAGGGTCATTGTACTTTGGGGAAGAGCCAGAGGTTGAACAGTGTGGGTCCAGTGAAAAATAAGGCAGATGAGGACACAGTGTTTTGAGGAGTCCGTCTTTCTGTTGGATGGCACTCAGCAGCAGCAGTCAACATATTTTTTAATCTCACTTGGTAAAGACATGAGAAAGGATGTAAGCAGGGCCCACTCCCAAGGCAGATCCTGCCGCCTCCGACTGCCCAGAGTCTCAGGGATGCCCGCTGGGCACATGGTGGGGAGTCAACAGCATGGGCCAGCCTTCCATCCTGGCTATGGGGTCATCGTGCAGGCTCACTGCGCCTGCTAAGCAGGGCCTCCTGAGCGCCTGGCCCACAGGCCCAGCGTCCAACCAGGAGGCCCACCGCACGGTGAAGGGTGTAGGTGTGGCTCTGACTGTGGGACCCACTGTCTGGTCACACTTGCTTGGCAGCAGGCATGAACACCTTCGGAAGGCAGGGCTGAGCCAGCAGCTGGAGGCCCCGTTGGACAGAAGGGCCCTGCTGCAGGATGACGCCTGTGTCAGCCAGACCCATGTGGAGGACTGAGGGTCCAGGGAGGACGGGGTCCAGGACCCAGAGGCCGGATGCAAACAGATGTGGCCTCACTCCCACCTTCCGTGACCCACTGGGGATTTGGGGTTTCTCCTTCCACAGCTCTGGGCTCTAGAGAGCTGGGGTCTAACCCTGAGTCCTACTGACCACAGTTTCAGCTGCCACCAGGGTGTTTGCTCCTGGGAGCAAGCAGAGGTGTCTTGCCTTGGACAGTGACCAGCAGGAGGAACCAATGTGGGTCTGAGGAAGTCACATGAGTGCCTGTGCCCCTCCCACCGAGAAGCCCTGGGGGATGAGCTGGACAAAGGCTTCGGCTGCCGCAGCCCAGGGCCTCAGAAAGAAGGTCTGGGCGACTGCCGGGGATGCAGGTCCAGACCGGCCCTCGGGACTTGCAGGCGGCCTTCGGGCGATGAGTCGGGCACCGCCTGAGACCCGCCACACCTGCCGGCGAAGCTGTGGACTGGCGTGGAGACAGGGTCCCCGAAGTGCTCGTGGGCAACAGTGCAAGCCATGGAGGATGCTGCAGGGCAGCAGGTCCAACAGGCAGCTCTCGGCCTGGGCACATGTGGCTCACTCCCCTCGTCTGAAAGTAGGCGGCAGGCAGGACTCCACAGAGGGCAGCCGGGCCAGCCGCTCCCCACCCCACTCCACACCTCCCACCTCCCTTCCCTGTCTTTCCCAAGACAGATCCACGCCTCGCCATCTTGGCACCTGCGTCTGAGAGCCGGAGCCCATGCCTGTCCTTCTGGTGGAGTGGGAGCATTTTCCTCACGCCCCTGATTTCCCCTGTTCAGGTTCTGAAGGAGGCCTTAGTCCAAGTGGATCTCGGGTCACAGGCTTGTTGGAACCGAGGTGGGTGCTGTGCTCCCTTGGATCCCTTCGCAGTGGGCGAGGGGCTGTTACCCTGAAATGACGTGTGGAGCTTGAGGCCCAGCTGCTGGTGTGGGGGCCACAGAGAGGAAACGCAAGGGCTGTGAATCCAGGAATCTTGGCAAATGCCCACCACTGTGGCCCAAGCTCCCCCAGGAGCAGGGAGTCGGGGGTCTGCATGCCTGGGCCTGGGTCACCTGCAGGAGGCCCTGCCTGGCTTATCACCACACCACAGGAAGGCTGGGTGGTGTCCGGGCTTGTGGCCCGAGCACATTTTTAAAGAGGGTGGGCAGTTTACAGCCCAGATGTATTTTGAAAGGGCTCCTGGACGGGATACTTAGAAAGTGCTTTTCAAATTACTATTTAGCTTGCAGCTCTCTCCCCCAAACTTCACTGTAAGCTGCAAAATATGGAAAATTGTTTGTACGGGCTCTCATTGAACACAGGTCGGCACTGGTGAGGAAAAGGTTATTTAGGAAGCAGAATGATAATTCTAGTTTCTGCTGTCCTTCCCTTCCATGAGAGCAGGCTGCAGCCAATAACAAGGGCTCAGGAGCCAAGATCTCAAAGGCTCCTAATACTCTCCCTCCTTCATGTGTCACAGCAGGATGACCTAAACACTATGAGAGGCCCATGAAACAGCTGCCCTTGCCTGGAGCCCCGCAGGAAGGCCTCGGCAGCACCTGCCCCACACCGCTGAGACCCCTGCTCTCGGGACCCACCCCACCCACCCACACAGCAGGCCCACAGTGGGTGTGGCCGGCCCTTGGTGAATTAGTGCCTGAAAGAGAAATCTGTCTGCTATGCTGGGATGTGTCAGAGAAGCTGTGCTCTCAGAATATGTACTTGGGATTCAAAACTGGGTGGAAATAGGAAATTCTTTGTTCAGAACAAAAATAGCACAAGTCAGCAGAAACAGAACTGGTGAAGCCGCCAGTTCCCGGGGCTCTGGAGGCCCCCAGGCAGCTGCCTTTGCTCAGCAGCCCGATGGTGTGAGGGGCGTGGTGAAGGGAGTGCAGCATGAGGGCCCCTCTTCCTGGCTCTGCCACCCATGCACCATGTGGCCTTTTCTTTGCTCCTTGGCTTCCTAATTTTGCAAGGAGCTGGATGGAATAAAGGTACAAACCCCGAGCAACCGCCTTCAGTGATTTCTAGACAAGGAATCCCTTGCTCTCTATCAAAGAAGAGTTTTTGACTGTTTCTTCTCCCCACAGAGGTCTGAGGAGACCGTTTCTCTCCAGTGGTGAAAAGGGCAACCCTGGCTGGTCCTCAGGCCCTGGAGGGCACCGGGGCAGAAGCAGTTAAGAGAGCAACGCCAGAGTTTCTGGCGGCCGAGCCCTGCTGGGTTCCAGCTCTAGGTGTCTGCTGGAAAGTGCAGCTGGGAGCCAGGTGACACGCTGTGTGTGTGTTTTGCTGTTACCAGAGAAACAAGAGGGAAAAATAAAGAACAGTTTCCACAAAAATCCAAACGGAATTCAAAAGTGTCTGTGTGCAGGGAGAGAGGAGAAAGGCAGGCGGGGATCCCAGTAACGGCCACTCTGTCCTGCCGGGCGGCCACTCCACCCATGCCGAGGGCACACGTTCATGCGGCCCTGGAAGTGGGAGGGCAAGTAGGATTTCCCGGGCAGAAGTGGGCTGTCCCCGCCCCTGGCCTGAGCTGTGCCTCCCCTTGAAGCCATCCGCCAGGGTCCGAGACACACACTGCACTGTTAGCTTTGGGTGGGACGGGTTCAGTAAGACTGCAGTGGCAGAAGATGCTGGTCTGCCTGCCCAAGTGGCTATAAATAGAAGGGAGGGGTCTTATTAGTGCGTGAAACACCAAAGATGAGGGGCCGGAAAGGAGGAGGCTGTGAACTTAGGGAAAGGCTCAGACCCAGACACCTCGGGCCAGTGGGCTCCAGCCCAGCCCACTGGGCCCAACATGGCCCTCTAGCAAATGAAGGTCTCTCCAGAGCCGAGGTGGCACAGGCCCTGCCCCGGTGCTGCCCCTGCAGAGTGGGCTGAGGGTCTATTTCTCTGGGCCTAGAGGAAAGGGCGCTACACACACAGGGCCAGCAGTCAGGCCAGTGTGGGACCGAGCCCTGCTGCCAGCAGTCACAGGTGCGGTCCATCTGCCCAGGATGCTCCTGGGCCTGGTGTGCACACAGACAGCAGGGCTGCAGGGCTGCACCGCTGCTGTCCCTGCCTGTGGTCTCCTCAGGTGTCCTCAAGGAGCCTACCGAGCCTGCCCTCCATCCTAGGTGGGTAAAACTGGGCCCTTCAACCATTAAAAGCGTTTGCAGTTTGCTGGCATTTACTCCACTCGGTGTTGTGCAGTCATCTCCTCCACTTGGTCCCAGAACCCTCTCTCCTAGGGGCAAACCCTGACTCTCTTGCCCTTCCTGTGGCCCTGGCACCACCAGCCAGCCTCCGTCCCAGGATTGGCCTAGATGAATGACATTCGTGGAGTGGCTTTGTGTCTGGATTCTGACACCCAGCACAGCACTTTCTAGGCTTGTCAGTGGTCATTCTGTTCATGGCTGCTTAATATTCCACAGTAAGAACCGTCCTCTCTGTACATCTGGATCATCCCCTGTGGCTAGTGTCACTAAAGCTGCCATAGCCACCATTCTTCAGAGTCGTGTGACTTTAGCATGATAAAGCAGGCAAGAGGGTGGGCAGTCGTTGGGGAACTGATCCTAGACTAACTCTGGTGGGGGTGGAAGGACATCTGGCACCCCCGACCTAGCACTAGGGGTACTCAGTAGCCAGGGGACATTTGCCACCAGGGGACTCAGCACTGGGAGTACTTGGCACTGGGGGCCCTTGGCAGCCAGAGGACATTACTACCAGGGTATCAGGCACCAGAGGTACTCAGCACCTAGCCAGTACGCCTGTGCTCCGCGGGGCTTTCAGCATCTCCAGTTTTAGGCCTGTGACTTCCGGGGCGGGGCTTTCCCTGCCCTCTCCCTGCCTCCTCTGCCCTGCGCGGAGCGCAGCGTGGCCGGCTGTGGGCCACGCGCGGGGCGGCCTGGGCTGCGAGGTCGACCCGGCCCCGGCGTGAGCCTGCGTCTCAGCACCAGGGCGCTGGGGGCCGGGCTAAGCCTGTCCGTCGTGGACGCCCGGCTGGGAAGCAGAGCGTCCGGCGGCTGCGGTTTCCTCGGCGCCCCCGCCCGCCCCGCCTCCGCGTCCTGGGCCGGAAGAGACTCTCCGCGGGAGTCCGCGCCGGCCTGCCTCAGCCTGGTCACCTGGGACCGCTTTCCACTGTGGCTTTGGCTCGGGACGCCCTGGCTCCTCTCCCGCAGGCTCCTCTCCCGCAGGCTCCTCTCCCGCAGGCTCCTCTCCCGCAGGCTCCTCTCCCGCAGGCTCCTCTCCCGCAGGCTCCTCCTCTGGGTTCTGCAAGCGCATGCGCTTCGGTCCACGCGGGCCCTGTGGCCTGCGGAGCCCCCTTGCGCGTGCGCAGCCTGCACGTGAGCTTTCCGCTGCGCCCGGGGTGGCTGGGAGTGGCTACTGCTGAGATAAGAACAAAAACGAGGGCTGCCTGCCTGTCGTCCCAGTAATGGGCAGACTGAGAATAGGCTGCAGAGTGAGACCCTGTCTCAAAACAAAAAGAACAGAAATGAGAGACGTGAACACACACCTGTCCGCGTGGTTTCGGGGGCAGTGCCCAGGTCAGTGGCCCTGTCCTGCGTCCTCGTGACCTGGACGCGGGTTGTTTAATCCTGAACACAGGCTGCCCTTTCCGCGTTGCTCTGCCACAATGTTTAACCAGCTCCCTGAGGCTTATTTTGGGCTGCGTAGTGGTACGACTTCACCGCCACCAAGGGTCCTGGTTCTGAGAAGCTTTGAGATGGCTCGCACGTAACCCCTGCTTGGTGACATGCCATTTCTCGGGGGCTGGTGAAGCCATGCACGTGGGGACCCACTGGCTGTCCTTAAAACCTGCAAGGCCATGTCATTGCCCCGTGAGTCACAAGAAGTCCAGGATCAGCGTGTGGCAGGCCAGGCTGGACATGTTTTTCCGTGGGTGTCTCCCAGGCACAGCAGCACCTGCCGGGCCGAGGCAGCTCCAACCCAGCTCTCTGGGACCTGCGGGGATGCTGAGCTTGAATGGGATGCCTCTGTTCTTTCCAGGAAGGAATAAGTGCATTTCTTTTTTCTTTTTTTGGTACTAGGGATTGAACTTGGGGCCTTGCGCTTGTAAGGCAGGTGCCGGAACCACTGAGCTAAATCCCCAGCCCAAAGCCCATGTCTTAAAGGGAGGTGTGGAATCCAGGTCAGAAACATCTGCTTTAATGCCCCCTCCCTTCCATGGGGCATCATCATGGGGAGCATTTCTCAGGCCCAACTCTCCAGGGTCTGGCGTCTGGACGGCAGAGCAGGGGAAGGTGATGTGTACCGTAACATAAAGGGAAACGGACTTGTTCTGGGAACTGGCTGCCCTTGAGCTGAGGTGGAGGTTGCTGGCTGATGTGGGAGGTCCCCTCCTCTTTGTTGGTGAGACCTCTCCTGATCCGGGATCCCTCTCTGCTCCCCAGGCTGCAGAAGTTGAGCTCCCGCTGTCCACCTGGTTGGAGAAAGGTTTGACTTGGATGAGGCCATGGGGGGTCAAGCCCTAGGAGTCCTGCCGTCCTGAGGGCTGGATCCTTGGCAGACAGCTGTGGGAGTCAGATTTCTGGACCTGGCAGGCTGTCCTTGCCCTCTGGACCCCAGTCTTCGGGACCATGGCTGGTGGCCCCGGCCCTGGGTGGGAGAACTGAGTGGGTGGGGCTCCCCACGGACATCCTGTGCCCCAGTGGGCAGAGTGGACCCAGTCTCTCTCGGGTGGTAGAGAATAATAAACAGCAAGCCAGGCGGCAAAAGCGACTGGAGCAGTCAGTGTGGCCATCCCAGTGCCCCAGGCATGTGCTCCAAGGTGACCCCAGTTCCCAGGGCACCGTCAGTTCCCACTGAGGGTCTCTCTGTGTCACTGGGCCCGCAGAGCCGTCCGCTCCACCCACCCGACTTCGGCAGCTCTGGAGAGAAGCTCCTGAAGCATCTGATTGCTTAAGTGTTCCCATCTGTGAGACCAAGCCGGGGAGACCGAATCTAACCATAAATGGAAACACTTAGATGGGTCCTAGACTGCTGCCAAATGACTAAGCAGCCGAGGAGGGGATCTGGGGTCCAGCAGGCCAGTGTGTGGATCTGCCAAGACGGCTGCACAGGGCTGGGAGGCTGTGGGAACAGCGTGGTGACTCACCCGGGCCTCAGCCGCCTGCTGGCAGGCTGTCCTGGAGGCTTCTCAGTTGGTAAAGAGAATGCCCTCAACATCAGTCGAAAGCTAATGAAAGAGGACTTTCTTTCAAAGTCAGGACTGATAGATGTTGGCAGAAATCAAAGGGAAGCCGTTTCCACACAAATATGTTTGTGCATACCACAAAGCCATCAAGCACCAACAGATTTGTTCAAGTTAATAAAAAGCAGGCAAGAGATAATTACGTAGGGTTTTTGTTTTAAGTTTTTAATCTATGCTATGTGAACTCAATTTTTGTTTTAAAATGGCATTTCCTTTCATTTGGGTTGGCTTCCCATTTCTTCCAATTTTGCAAAGTTCTGTGCACCACAGTGGCATTCTGACACGACCATGGCCATCCACTGTTGTGTGCAAATGAAGCGCCACTACAGTGATAGAGCAACTGCCAGACGGGAGGAATGCTGAAGGTCGCAGGGAGAGGCGTCCCCGAGTCTGGCTTCCGCACTTGGATCACTGTTGGGTGATGGGTCACCTCGGATTCCCAGGAGGTGACCCGCACTTGTCTTCCTGATGGGGTCATTGAGGGGACTTGGAGCACCAGGCCCTTCAAGCCATGAAAGCAGAAGGTTGACAGCAAGTGCCCCCCTTGTAGAGGGGAGACCCCAGCTCAGGGGTGAGGGTGCCCACTGTCATCTGCACCTCTGGGCACAGCCACGCCCACTTCCAGCCCCCTCCGCGCCTGGTGGAGCCCTGTGCCTGTTCTACCCAGGGAACATGGGCAGCAGGCCTGACGCATCAGCACCTGAGCCATCCCGTGTTTTCTCTGTCCCCTCCCACATGGGTGCAGGGACCCTGCAGCAGTAGGCTGGCTGCTGGGAGGAGAAGGAGCTTGAGTCCCAAATGGCCACAGGGGTGAGACCCTGTCCCCCACCAACCTGCTCTGGGTCCTGGTGGGCATGGTACCGAGGTCAGCCCCAGGAGACAGTGCTGGCTTCCCAGGCCACCCCTGGGCTCTTTCCACAGCCTCATGCTGCTGTGTGAGGCTTTACCTCCACGGACACTTTACAAACCTGTTAAATGTGAAATTTCGGCCTCAGCCCCAAGATGCACAAGACAGCAGAAGCACACAGAGGTCCAGAGCCATGGCAGAGCTCAGGCTTGGGGCCCTGGCCCTGCACCACACTCTCAGGCAGGGAAACCAGACCACTCAGAGGAGGCCCAGGCAGGGATGAGTGTATTTGGGCCAGAAGGGGGCTGGGGAAGGAGTAGCAGGTCCTTTGAAGTCCTCTGAGGCCACCTGGGGAGGGGATCTGGTTCCAGACCCTGGAGGCAGAGGCCGCCTGCAGAGCTGGGCCGGCTGAGGGAAAGGGAACCTTGCACCATGGGGTCAGAGGGCCCAGCAGGCAGTCCGTTTCCCACCGTGGTGCCTGCACACCCACCGGGCTCTCCCCAGTGTCACAGCGATGAGGGCTCCCAGTTTCCATGTTGCAGCCTGGGAAAGGAAAAGACTGAAGGCCAGCCATTCACAATAGCACCAGAGGATCGGATTCTTAGGGATAAATTACGAAAATACGCGTAAGA